AAGCCTGGGAAACCCTATAAGTGTCCAGTCTCAGTGGTTTTGTTACTGCACCAAAATAAGGGGTCAGGGCATAATAGCACTAGAAAAAGCTGACTTGCTGTAGATTTTACATAATGAGTTCCCAGCTTTCTCTCATTCAGCACAGCTTCAAGACAGCACAGAGAGGAGATTTCAGCTCTAAAGATGTCAGTGGGAGAGCTCCAGTTCCTTTGGTCAATGACAATAAATTAAAGGCATGCCTCGGTGCTTGCAGGAGGAGGGGGAGCAGAAAGCAAAGCTGAAAATGCCAAAAACAATCTCTCAAAAATGTCCCAAAATATTCCTTTTCCTTCTCCACGGCTTGTTTAGAAAGGGTTGGACTTGGCATAACTTTCTTTGCTTTCTGCTGCTTTTTGGTTAAGTCTATTTAGTGATATCTTCTTATACCAAAAAAATAGGCACAATTTCCTAAGAATCAGGTTCTTCAGCCTCATTCAGGAGGCTACTTTCAGCAGAGATGCAACAGCAGAGCAGCAGTTTCTTATTGTGCACTGTCACCTCCAGCCACAATTAACGTTTCCCCTTCTCATTAGAGGTTTTTCCTCTGACCCTTTTATGTTTTGCCTTTTTTTCCCCTTTTTTTAAGAGGATAGAAGAAGCCACAGTAAAGGTGACAGCTGGTGTCTGTGGCTTGGAGGTGGGAAAACAACTTCTCTGCGAGCAGAGAGATGCTGCAAACTCTTGCCCTCTTGTCCCCTTTCCACCTTCCCCACCAAGGAACCTCCTCCCCAAACCTCTGCTACAGCCAGAGATGAAAACAAAGTTAATCTAAGTTCTATCTGTACATCCCAAGCGATGGGAACTCTATTTCTGTAAAGAATATATGTCTTAATACTCATTTAACCTCTTTAAAATCAAATGCAGGACTTAAGCAGCTCCCACTACCACGGCTGAGAACTATTTTGTGTATGTTATGACTCACATATATACATTGTATTTAATAGGATTTAATAGCCTGACAAATATTTACAACTATCTTCACAACTATTTCCAGCCTGCTGAGTGTTGGTTGACATCTCTGTGTGCTGAAATGCCCAGAGAAACCTGACTGGAGCTGGCTTACAACTGACAGCTGAGAAGTGGCTGTGTTGGCAGGAGAGAAATTCAGAGTCTCTAGCAGCCAGGGGACCTGGAGACTGCCACAGAGGTTGGCAGGACCTCCAAAGGGCTGCAGAACGTGGCCCTGGGTCCTGGGTTGTGCAGCCCTGGTGCCTGGGAGCAGGCAGGAGCTTGCCTGCATGGAGGGGATCCACTGCTGCTGTAGCACTGTCTAGTTGAGCATCACTTTCTGGAGGGCTGCTGCACCAAAATCAAGCAGCTCCTCTTCATTTGGGCTCAGAAGAAAATGAGACAAGTTGCTCACCCTGTGTCTGTCTGCTTTCCTCTGCACAAAAGGAACCAGAGGGTCAGACAACCTGGCACTGCTTTTAATGCTGAGGCAGTGCACAGTGGTTTGAAACAGAGCTTGCATTCTTCAGGCTGCCCAGCACAGAGCTGGATGAGGCACTTCTTGGCTGGCACAAAGCTGGGAAGTCCCTGGATTCCTCCAAACCCATGGGAGTAAAACAGAAAGGCCATGAACATCCTAGATGTTGAATTCTATAGAACACCTCATTTCAAATCCCAGCTATTTATCCACATAGTTCAATGATTTTAGGAGAAGGCACATGGTATAATTACCTTACCAGTTATAATTACACTTTACCAGTGGGGAAACTGAGGCAGGCAGCAGTTTATCCTTGTCCAACAAGTCCATGAAGTCACAGAATCTGGAGGAAGAATGAGGTCTCTGAAGTCCAAGTCTCTTCAGCCACAAGCAGAGCTACACACAAGAAAGTGTAGGGGTGGGTCCAGGACAGTATGCTGTATTTTTGAATGAAGTGGAATAATTTATGGTCTGATTTTGGACATCAGAGGCCAAATTAATTTCGTTTTGAAAGCCTCACAGCAGGTTATACAGCTAAAAAGACTTATCTGATGTATTGTCAGCCTGAAGGCACACACAACAAAGACTTTTCTATCTAACCTACCTCCCCAACACAAAGCTCTAGCCAAATACTTTCCTCTCAGACTTTTCCAAAGTGTCCTAGTGTAATTTTCATTTCAATTTAAAATTAAAGTGGTGATCTCCAATGACACATCACCGAGACAGAACAGCCCAAGGCAGGAGCAGCTCCAATAAATTTGGCCTTTTGGGGGGAGTTACACCAGAGGATGATGTGCCACGTTTGACTGCGCCGTGGTCGCACACCTCTGGCTTCCAGCAAGCACCAGTTTAGCAGTTCATGAGTCCCACGAACTCACTGGGATGCCTTTACAGCACATTGGACTTGCCCTGATCAACCAACCTGCACCAGAGGAGTGCTTAGAGATCTTCCAGTGAAGAAATATCCATAACTAAAAAGCATTTACTGTAATGAAGACCCTTTAAAAGAGGCTCTGCAGCCTGCAGCGGAGCTCTAGTCAACGTGTAATTGCCCCAAATATTGCAGAGTGTATTTTCCTTCCTCTTTTGCATATGTTGAATATCATTTTCTGGGTAAAACAAACATCTGGGCACAGCTGTGGAGGTGGATTTTGCACTAGTTAGAGTGGATGACCTTCAGTTCTTGGTTTTGCCCAGCAGTCTGCCAAAATCTTTGACCTCGGACCAAAAGTCTTTTGACCTTTCAAAGTTTACTTTTAAAAATAGAGGTTAACTTTTATGCTGCAAATTATCCCTTCATCTCTTCTAATCCCCCAAGTCTGACATCGCAGTCCCACTTCAATTATGCTAAACTCTTCTGTTAATTTTAAATCATGTAACTTAATTCCTGGCAAAGCAGGCTGGTGATTTTCAAAATGTGGTTAATGAGGCAAAGGACAATCTAGATTCTGCTGCTGAGCTCATCTGAATCCCTTAGCTCGCTGAAGATGAGGATGGAGAGGCTCTTCTTCACAAAAACCTGGGTTAGATTTTCCAAAAAAATGATTTTTTAAGTGCAGTTATGGGGCTGTGAAATTGGAAGTTGAGCACGCAAAGAAGTGAAACGACTTTTACTAGAGCTACAGAACAACACTGAGGCCAAACCAATGATGCTTGGAAGGTGTAAGTTGTGTCCTCCCCTTTTAAATCCCAAATGCAGACCCTACCCCATTTTCAAGATGCCAATCCAGGGAGCTGGTATCTATGTCCACGGATGGATGCAGATCAGTGTCATTCTCCCTCTCATTTGCAGAAGCCAAATGTTTGCTAATAACTTGGTTCACTCACCCCTGACTCAAACAATAGCTTTATCTAAGGCCAGTTAATAGAGGAAACCTTGGGAGACTCTACATTTTTTTCCAGTGCTTACCCCCCATCTCTGGATCTCTGTCCTTACTTGGTCAGATAGGCTGAAAACTCATCACCAAAGCAAGCTCAAGGTGAAGCCTAAATTCTTCAGAGACGTTGTCATTTACTGCTATTTATTTCTCTGCATTAAAGAATTCATACAAAACTCATTTATAAATAGACCTCAATTTTTTCTTAGCATGCTAAGCTTTTTTTTTCCCTTTTTTTTTTAAAAAAAACCCCAATATTTGGTACATGAGCCTTTCTTTTTGTCTGAGAATGAACAATTAACACCCAGACAAGACAAAGCAAATGTATAAACATCCCCAAAGAGGTACATTTATCTTTTATTTAACATTTTCAGTGGCCTCCCTACAAGGCAAGAGAGATTCTTTCAGGATTTAAGGTGGGAATCAATACTTACAAGAAAGCTCCAGTGGAAAAGTTGGTTTTTATACCAAGGTCAACTCCAAGTGAAACTGAAGGCAGTTTTTAGGAGTTAAGAGGCTGGAGGTCCTTTTGTTTCTTCAATTTCCTGAGGGAAAAACTGGGGGAGAAACAAGCAGCAAGGGGACATAAGAAATGGACCCATGTTGACTCCTTTGGAAGGACTGAAGTTGTGCTTTTGCCTGAGATGATGGAAAGGACAGCAATGGTGCTGGCCATGAGGCAACAAGGACAGCAGAACACAGGTGACCTCAGGAAGTTGTGAGGACAAAACCAGCCCAGAAGAATAGGAGGCAACAGGCACACACACCTTCTGTGTAACAAATTTCTGGGAGCTAGGCAGATGGTTGGACACTGGGGGGCCAAGAGTGGTCACAGCAGTTGCTTCTCAGCATGGATCTTATCGTGTCCCATAGCTACCACCTAAGACTTTGTCCTATCACCAAAGATGAAGACTATCTTGAACACACAGACCACAGTAGGCAGCATGTGGTTGACTCCACTGTAAATTAAAATGTTAATTTTCATGTCTGGCAACTCTAGTGCATCAAGCAAAACGGGGCAGTAGACCAGGACTTCAGACCACAGGCTTCCCCAAGTTTATTCTGCTCAGCAGTTGAGCTTCTGTGTCATCTATAATTTTATGCATTTGTATTCAAGAGCATCCTTCAATAACAAACAATCAGCTCTAAAACCAGCTCCAGCCTCGTGGTAACCAAACAACAAAACCTTGTGACTGAGAAGGCTGCAAACATTTTAGAAAAGGAGCCAAAGCTTCTTTATTAATAAGTGACAGAAAGTAAAAAATACATTTAAAAAAGAGTTTCAAACCCAGTTTCTAAAGCAGATGCAACCAGAAGAGAATCATGCTGCTCTGATTGCTTTTTTTTCCTAAGCCATTAAAAGAACATTAGGTAAGCTAATGCAACAGCTGGCTGCACTACCACTTCCACACTACAATCCATAATGGTAAAAGCAGCTTTTTCAGGCATTTTAGTGCAATTTATGCTGTTTACAGGTCTTATTTGGGGCATTCTTCTATCTTTTAATGCCAACTGATGTCACCCTAGCTTATCAAAACCCCACAAAGTCAAGACAACTCCACTTAGCAGCAAGTTTGTTTCCTTTCAGGGCTAATCTCAGAGTAGTTTTGAATTCCCAAGAGATAAATATCTATCAGAAGCCTGAAGCTATCTTGGTGCTATACAGTGGGTGATGTATAATTGAACATTAAGTAATCCAAGTAATAGAAGTCATAGGTCAGCTGTCTCTCCTCCTTAGACAACTCCTTTAAGTATTGCCTCACTACTTCTGCACTCGTTCTTTCATCAGAGGAGTGTCTGTCTTTGAATTTAGGAAACTTCAGCTCTGCTGGAGCACCCACCAGCTGCAAAAAGGAATTGGCATCTTCTTCCAGGGTTTCAAACTTCCCTATGAAGTCATAGTGGATAAGGCAGGGATAGCAGAGCTTACTGACTTGCTCCCAGTGAATGTCCATCCCTATGGGGCGATGGGAATCTAACAGATACTGGATGAACTCCCTGAATTTAACTCCAGCTCCCGTGTTCAACGCCTCCTCCTTTGCATCACGCCTGTACTTCTTAATTATTGCCTTCCCAAATACGGGGTGGTAGTAGCTGTTGGGGTGTTCAAACTTATCCCTGAAGGCAGACACCAATCTCTCCATGGGGTCACGTACAAAGATTGCCTTGGTGTAGGTGTTGAGGCGTGTGTGAATCCCTTTGAGGTCATAACTGTCCAGTTTCCTGAGGTGCTTCCCATAGTGAACGTCGTCGTGGGAGATGTTGTGCGCCGAGGCAGCCAGGCCGTTGAGCACCATGAGGACCCTCTTCCAGTTGGAGCAACCTGCTTTGGGCACTTCACAGTAGAGGACTTTGTGCCTGTCCTCCACGTAGATTCTGGACACCAAGTGCAGGAGGTGGGTTTGAAGCTTCTTCCTGCTGTTGTGGCTCTTGCAGAAGTCCCGCAGGAAGGATCGGCGCTTCTCCTGGGCACCATCCACGTCCTTCCACAGTGTCTTGTTCAGAGGGTGCAGGGCAGGAGGGGAAAACACCCCTCTGGTCTGGCCAAGGGGCGACTCACTCATCTTCTGCTGGCCAGACAGCTGGCTCCCCGAGGAGACAGACACCACGCTGACAGGGTCAGCCTTGTCCCACCAATGCCTGCTGCCTGAGACACGCTCCCCGAGGCCAGGGGCACTCCTGGATGCTGCTCCTCTTGGCATCACTGCCTCTGGGAGTGTGAAATCCTGCAAAAAAAAAGAGGAGGAGAGCTTACAACTCGGTCACAGCCCAGCCCATGCACCCTGCAAGCAAGGATGGCTGTGTAGGCTCAGCACCAAGCCACGTCCGGCACCACCAGGTCTCTTTTGAACCAGCTGATCAATGCCTTCCTACAAAAATAAGTAGCTTAAGCCACACCTTTTAAGAAATCAGAAGAGGTTCCCAGAAGGAGGCTGATGGTCCTGGTAGGGGTGGCCAGGTGCTTGTCTCTGCTGAATTTTCCTCTGTGACCAGCACTGGTGGCCACTCTCCAGACTGCACCCACAGTCACCCCGAGAGCTGATGGATCTGCTTCCACTGCTGGGACTGGGAGCAGGCTTTGTCCTCCCCAGTGTTGGCAGGGGATGAACCTAAGGCTCCTAAATAGCTGGGAGCAGTGGGTTTGAGTGGGGTGTAGTGATGGGTTCCCTCAAAAAAGGTCCTATTCCTGTCCCCCTACAGTCCAAGGGCGTGGGATGCACACACAGCTCTTTGCAGCACAGATGCCTGCACCTGAACCAGCTGCTTTCACAGCTGATAAGGCCAAACAGGTGCCTTTAGAGCCTATTTCATCTGACTTATTTAAACATCAACATTAATGACATCAACTAACTAAACATCAACTACTGGCCCTGCAAAGAACGCGAAAAGAGGAGACTTTCCTCCCAAAAAAGTCCTTTCATGGATTTTCAATGAAACTTCTTTCATGAAACACCTTTCATGTCTTTTCATGTCCCCAGCCAACATGCAATCCACAGGCTGCAGAAATGGCAAAGCTGGGATCTGGGTTTTCCTGTCAAGTTCTTCAGGGTCTTGCATCGTGCAAGCTGATGGAAGAGTTGCTTGGGTAATCCTGCTCTCTAACTCCTGAGCAGATTCTTTTGTGCCTACTAAGGCTTGTAGATATTTATTTCCCCTGTCAGTGGTTTCATTACACTTCTGGAGAGAAGGGATGCTGGTCAATAGGTTTTTAAACATCCTGTTGCAAATACCAGAGAGCCAAGTGGTTCGAGGGCCACACACACATGGACTGCCTGACTGCTTTCATAAGCCTAACTTTTTTGGAAGCCTTCATAAAAAGCCCATTCTGCCATAAAATGATTAAACATTTACTGAAAAGTTGTATTTGTGGACTGTCAGATCATATGTGTGGGTTTGAGGGATGGGAAAGCTCATAGGGCAACTCAAGGCTGTTAAAAATTCAGAGGAATCATGTAAGAAATTGTAACACATGGAAAATAATTAGAATTTCCATTTGGAATAAAACCTATGGAAAAATTCCAAGCAAATCCAAGAAAAATTAGCCTATATTGCAGTGCAAAAATCTCACTTCAATGGATGAAAGTGATTTTTGTATTGGTGAAAACAAAGAAAAGAACAGAGCCATGCAAGACTTGTACATCTGTGAGAGAGGGCACGTGGGTTGTTTTTAGAGATGCAGAAGGATACTTGAATTCTTTCCATTTGATGTGGTCACTTTTTCTAGTCTAATTTGGTTTTTTTTTAGTTCTTTTGTCTGATATTTCATTCTTTAAAACAAATAGAACACAAGTGTGTAATAATAGGAGGTAATACTTGTAGTAAAACAAGGGATGACTATGAGCCTAATGGGAATTTCAGCATCACAGGGAATGGAGAATTACAAGTGCTACTGCAAAACCACAGACTTGGAAATCTGGAACCTAGGAAGGAAAACCTGGATCAGAAAAACCTGGATTTTCACCTTATAAAGGTGAACTAGTAAAATGGAAGATGCCCTGATTGCATCAGGCCAGCCTGAGAAGTGTGTGGTCCTGATTTTGTTCTGTTTCAAGCAGGACCAACCTCAGGAGATAACCCAAGGAGCTGTGAATGCAGCTGTAAGAACCACTACCAAAGGATTTTTCATGGGGTTAAAGACTTCAGAGAAGGCTGGGCAGACTGTTCAGAGAAATCTCAGGTAACACCCTAAAGGAACAAGCTATGCACAGTGGGAATCACTTGAAAGGGGCTCCCTCCAAGCTATGAGAGGCAAAAGAAAGAATATCAGGGGAAAAAAAGCCCTAAACAGAAAGGGGGGAAAAAAAAAACCAAACAAACCAAAAGACCTAGTGGAAAACCAAAAGACCTAGTGGAAAACCAAAAGACCTAGTGGAAAACCAATGGCATGGGAAGTTCTGAGGACAAAAAAAATCTCTAAATATGCAAAATTTGATGAAGTTTTATGATACCAGGCTTGCAGAAAATGAAACCTTTTCTTTGGCTTGCTCTTGGTGCCAGCAACTTTTCAATGCCTCTTTTATGACACTTTAAAGATCTGAACTTCTTCATGTTATACTGATTTTATTTTTTCACTCCCAGGCAATTCCTGTGTTTGTCACTGACTCTGGGTCCAGGTGACCCCATGGAAACTGTCCTTACCAAACCCTCTGAGCTGTGCCCAAGTGGCTTTCCAAAGAGCTGCTCAGTTTGGGAACCAGCTGCCTGGCATGGGAGATGAAACCCCCTGGTCTCCATAGCTGAGGAGGAACTGAAGGCTGATTTAAAATATAAATACAAGGGAAAAAAAGGAATTTAAAGGAGTATTAGTGTGGGACTTGGCTACTGGTAGGCAACTCAGTGAAGCTGCTGCAACCAAAGGCATTTTTGAATCAGCAGTGGCCTCATGGATTTTATTTTGACATTTTTATTGCTGGAGATTCCCTGCTCCTCTCCATCCACAGAAGGATTTCTCCTCACTGTAAAAATAAGTAGTCAATACCTTCTTTTACACACTTAGAAGCTGTTCTTTGCTTTACTACCTTCACAAGCCACTGGTGTAGAAGAGATTACTGCCAAGAATGGTTAAGACTCATCCAGTTGTGCTCTGTGCTGGTTTTACAATGCACGGGTGGGATCTCATCTAGACAGTTGGCAATTAGAGCAACCTGCCATGCAAAAAGATAATGATGTGTTGGAAAGGATGATGTTCTAGGGTTGATTTACAAGGATTTAATGGCCTGCAGTGCAGACAGGGCTGTGTTTCCTAAATGCTTTAGTGTTAGATCTTCATTTTTACTAATAAGAATAGTAAAATTAAGTGAGCCCAACAGAAAACATAAGATAAAGAATAGTAGAGGAAAAAAATATTCTGATTTTTCATGTTTATCTGTCCTACCAAATAACTACCTTGTTAAACAATGTATGGTTTGTTTCTTAACATCTAGCTGGCATGTCTTCTGCATGTGTCAAAGTTTAGAATGAACTGAGAGCAGTTTCACTGCATAAATGTATATATTTCACTGCATAAATGTATATATTTCACTGCATAAATGTATATATTTCACTGTATAAATGTATTTCTTCACATTGCTTCTTACCTGAAGATTGTATTAGAAGTACCACAAAATTTCAAGACCTTATTTTTTTTTTGCCAAGGATCTCTCTGTAGGAAACAGGCAAAGGGTCTTCTGAGCAAAGGTTCATTTTCCAACTCACTCTCTGATTCTCTATTGATCAGGGAGCACATGGAGTTCAGTCTCTTAATTTAGGTGTTTTGTTTAAAGCAGCTTGAATATAAATAGAAAACAAACATCCTCCTACATGGATTGTAGAGAGGTGTGAGTCTGAAAAGGTAATATATAGTTTCAGCCTAAGTTTTGTTTAAAAGAGAAGGTTGCTCACATAATTTGGCACAGCTAGAAGGATTTCTTCAGGAGAGGTCCACGATTGTGGCAGATGGCTCAGAATTGATATGGAGTTGAAACATCATGAAAAGTTTGCATGACTTCTATCTTCAGCAAGCCAGTGAAGCCTGGAGCTATTACTGCCTCCCTTCAGCTGGAAAAACATGTGAAAACTATTCTTGCACATACATGTGCAAGTTTTCTTAAGCCTGTCAAAAGGAGCAATTATCCTTAACTTTTTTTTTGTGCCAGTTTGCAAAGCATAATTCACTCTTGCCAGACTCCTCTACTACTGTGCTGCCCGAGCTAAGACTTTCCTCTAGATTAAGATTTAGCAATATTTTGTATGTGGAACAATCAGTCCTGACTGTAGAGACACCACATTTTCCTGTGAGATATGTACCCCTAAAATACACATACCTGGACCAACCACCTCTAAGATAACTAAATGAGTTGGGGAAAAAAAAACCATAAATGAGTGCACAGGGTTCCCAGAGCTTCCTGCAGAGACTAAGAGGTAAATTTTATAGTTTGTAGCTGAACCTGTGCTAAAGAGGCAAGACAGTCAGCAACACAGATGAAGGAAGTTAATCTCTGATATGACTTGCCAATTTTTGTTCCAATCTGGAATTAACTCCCTCTTGTTTCTAACCCTCACAGTCAAAACATTTGCTTTCTCCAAAACATGCTCAGAATCAGAAGGATAAGAAAGATCAAGGCATAGTTAATAAAAAAAGTACCAATAAAGATGCTATTACTATTATAAACTAAGTACCATATAATTTTGCATGAATGATTAAAGATTCACCAAGACAAGTGCAACCAAGCATTGAAAATATTGCACCCCACCCCCTTAATACTAATCAAGAAATGATTGTCAAGGTCAAGCAATGGTAATGACAAACTGGCTTCTGGATACTAATGCTGATGCTGCTTCTCCAGCTTTCTGACAATGGTTTCATGGGGCTGGAGCTTTGTAGCATAACTTACAGGCTTGTAAATAAGCACAGAACCATTGCAAGCCAGACAGGTTGTGTTTGGACAGAGCTTGCATCCAGGTTGCACAGAGTGCTGGTCTCTAGATGTGCTAATAAAAGGGAATTTTCACATCATGGACCATTTATCACTGGGCCATACTTAGCCCAGCCTCCTCTCTATGCAGTTTTGGGTACAGGTAAACCAGCATGTTCAAACAGCATTGAATTCCCATCTCTGTCCTCCTCCTCTAGGTCTCCTCTGTTGATAAAACCTAAATCAGACACTGCAGGCAGTGGCCAGAACCCTTCATCACTCATTTCTGTACAGAACAATGTCACAGCAGTGCAGCTTAACCTGAAATTCAAAGTGGATTTTTAGTCTTCATTTTATGAAGAATAATATTAGAAAAAGATGCTCAGGTTCCATTGACTGGTAATTTTACTACATGTATACAGGGACTTTAAATCTGAAGGTGATATTTTCCAGTTATCTCTATTACATATTGGCCTCTTCTTTGAGTTCATTAAATGATGTTAAAGTGCCTACTTTTTTTGTAATTTAAAGCACAGAATCAAGTCAAATAACCCAAATAGTTCCCTCTGTTGACAAATGCAATTCTCAAAATTGCTGACATGGTAATTCCTACACACAGTCATGTTATGAAGAAGAAAATAAATAATGCCACTTGCATGTTCACAGCTCAAGCCAGGCAGGCATTTGTGAGCACATTTCATGTTTTAAACAACATCTATTTTCCTCTCTAAAGACAAGGGCTGATGCCTGAGGGTAGACATCAACATCTTTTTATCCAGAGGTATTGGGTATCTCTCTCATTCACTTCTATATATAGGAGGGATATAATGTGGGTGTTACAGGTAGGAAAAGTAGGTTTGAATCTGCTTGGCCAGAGGAAGAAAATGAACCTGGAGTCCTCTGTTTCAAGGAATCATTGACTCACTTTGCACAGAATTCCCAAAATCACATTAAGAAGACTCCCCAGCCTACCTGTACCTCACGTGGTCCAGCCTGGCAGGTGTGAGGTGCCTGTTTCTGGGTTTCCACCACGCTGAGATAAGAAGTGCCTGGGTTGGATGAGTTCTGCCAACACTGGGGCACACCTGTACCCTCAGAGGAACAAGCCTGCAAGGCTCAGATGCCTCCTCTGGGAGGTGATGGATGAACAGAGGTTGTTGCAAATCTGGATTTGAGCTGAATTTAGGCACTTTGATTTCCTTCTAAACCTGCCCCCCTTAAACTACAGTGAAGATGCAGCTACTTAAACAATTGCTAAGAGCTTTGTACCAAGCACTAAATAAGGAGCTTGAATGCCCACTAAGACAACTAGAAGAA